TCTTTCTTTTTTTTTTTTTTTTCGTTTTTTATTATGTGAACACTTCTCATTATTATGGATGAATAATAATCGTGTATTTTTACGTCTGTAAATAAATCCGATCGACGCTACTTGATTAGAAACCAGGAAAGATCGTTTTACGCGTTAATTACCGTAATGATTATTTTCGAAAGGTTCATCAATTTTGCTTCGCCATTTTACGACGTTTTGCAAATAATTGCACAAGTGTTGGGTGAAACTGGCTCGTAAAAGAAATAGATGGGAATTACTCTTTTTTTACGGTGATTACAAAATAGCTAATAAAGGATAAAAATTTTCTTTTTGAAAGATTTCATTTTGATTGTATCAATTTAGATACGTTTTACATGTATTGTTTACTTTTAATTTCATCTCTCTCTCTCTCTCTCTCTTTCTGTCTGCCAAACATAGCGAATCCAAATCAATTCGAAAAATAAAAAATTTCACTTCGCGCGATTATTAATCATTTATCTATTCCATTCGCAAAATAAACAGATCGTATGAAATGATCGTGTTAAAAGTTATTTCAATTACTTGTTTACTTAATTCGAGAAAGTTTCGAATCGAATAGTTGATCGTGTGTCGGGCAACGATACTCGAGGAGAATAAAGAAAGAGCGTTCCACAAGAGACAAGGCGGTTCGCGAGGAATAATTATAACCCTTTGTTGACCGCGATCAAAGTTGACTCACATGCTCGTGAGTCATTTCTCTCTTTCCGGGTGTAGGCCTTCCCGCGATGGCCGTTCTACACCGAGATCCACGACCTTATTCGACATCTGACATCACCAGTAGCCTTGCCAATTATCGACCAGCAACTATCGCGGCCTTCGGTTATCTCTGGGTCAGCTGTAAGAAACGTTCGATCGATCGATCGATATCTGCAAAATTCAATTCTAATTCGATAGTGTCACGAGAATAAATCTCTTCGATTTCTTTCTCTTTTTCTTTTCTTTTTTCTAAATTGTTCTCTTCGAATCGATCGCATCCTCGAGAAGGATAATTATTATCTTTCAATTTTTCCACTCGGATAATCGATTGATCTTATCGAATCGCATCAAAGGATCGTACATCTCACGCTTTTGTCTATCTATTAGAAAATGAATAGTTGGGTCAGAGTGCACGGTTGTGTTGTCGGCACGTGATAAATCTTCACGTCCGAAAGACAATGTTGGGAGGCTGCGTATATACGCTATCCTTAGATGCTACCGATGAGTAACAATGAAACAAAGGCATTGCCACGATTAAAGGCCTTTTGTTTCCCGGGGAAATCGCGATTTAATGTTTCTTTCCTGGGCGTGGGTGAAATACGCAAACGAGACAACGCTTCCACAAAAATGTACAAAAATCTTTTTTCTGCAAGAATCGTATCGTTTCGATAATATATATATATATTTGTAAAAAACAAAATGCTATAATTCCAAAATGTAATTGTTCCAGATATGGCACAAACAGTGCTTCAAGTGTCAGGGCTGCGGCATGATCCTGAACATGCGGACGTACAAGGGTTTCAACAAACAGCCATACTGCGAGGCGTAAGTAGAATCGTTTTATCTCTTGACACTGTGATCTCCTATACTTTGTAAATAGATTAACGACTTGTTTATTCAATCCCCCTTATCTAATTAATCTTCCTCCGAAAGCCTCCTTAGATACCAAATATAATACTGGTTTAAAATTATAATTAAAAAAAAGAAAGAAAACTTTTCTACAATTTCAATTCTATGAATCATCTCTTCGCACAATTCAATAATCCTATTTAATGATTCGATATCGTTAAGATTCTTATTTATTGCAATAATTGCGACATACCCTTCTTCGCATTGATTTGATCGATGCGTGTATTTTTTTTCTGATTATAGATATCGATATAAAAGGGATATAACGATATCATAGAAAATTAATCAAAAGAAAAAAAAATATATATTTTACTCGAATCTTTATTCAATGTCGCATTACGTGCACGATTCTGAATACGAGAATGGCTGGATCCAATCTGTGTCACCGTCTAAATCGATTGATTTAATTTACAATCTCGTTATATCTCTTCCATTTGACTTAAAAATATATATATTAAATTAATTCAGTTTGCCAATTACGTGATCAAATTTTTTTTCCAACGATATTACGATTACGTATAGAAACGCGTGTCTATCGTATCTAGTCGCGATATCAAAACGCAATTCACTTTTATCCGCGCCAAGTCATGGATCACGCGCAACATCTTCACCGATTGCAACAAACAATGAATACGTGAAACGCGTGTTTAGAGGCGCGTGATTGGCTGGCAGAGATTCGCCGAGGGAACGGCCGTTTTAAACGCGGCGAAAGCGAGCGGTCCTGCGGCCGGGATAACCTGCCTTCGTGCCTTTCGAACGGATCCTCCTTTTATCGTCGCTCCTTTCAGCTGGCCGCGTCCTTGCCGCGTCCAACGCCGCCATTACGCTTCGGCTAACGCTCACAGTTCCTAATAAAAATCCGAGTGAAAGGATCCGAAAGTGTATCGCGGAGCTGCCGAACCTCGGCTACCCTCGGATCTCTGTCCCCTTCCCTCCTTCCTGCTCCTTCGTTCTCCGACTCGGCGATAAGGATCGCTCGTCCAATCGACTTGTTCGACAATTTTTAAATATGAAAAATATGAATGTGAAATATTTCGAAATTTTATTCGATCCGAAACTTGGAATTTTGAAGTGAAATTTGAAAGGAAATTGCGATATTGAAATATAAGTAATATGTTGTCGTGGTTGGAAGAATGGATTGTGGAAAATTGTTTGACATTCGCGGATACGTTTGTTCCTTTCTTCTTTCTCTGTTTTATTTTCTGATCACGATAACGCAAGATCTGTCTTCGCTCGTATCGCTAACACGAAGTACGCACGCGTGATTAAAGTGAAAATAGCGTGGAAGGTAATACGGTTTGATAACACGTTGATATCGTTGAACGGAATATTAATAAGCACAATACGATTTTATTTTATTTATTGATTAACGAGTCATCTTATCGCGATACGTAACAAGGTACTTATTCAGAGAATGTAGTTATCA